CATTTCGTTTGCTAGGCATAATAGGAGGTTGTCATATTCTCGGAAACTGGATTTATTCTTTTCTGAAAATCGAATCTCTATCTTATGTTCGCACAATGTTTTTTGGAAAGACGAAATTTTGCGAAGCCTTGCCTAGATCTTACTCTGAGCACTACTCCGTAAAATGCCTCACTGATAGCAGATCGACATTTTTTTTTTTTTTTATTTTTTTTTTTTCTGTTGACTAGGACCGGGAGGAAAGTACAGTTTGGTTGGTTACCTTCCTGCGTTTTCCCTCCCACCCAACCCTTTTTGCCTGCATTCCCGTTTTGGTAAGTGCCACGTCAGCAGTGCCATGTCAGCAGCAGTGCCACGACAGCAGTGCCACGTCAGCAGTACCACGACAGCAGCGGGGCCACGTCAGCAGTACTTCGTCACCGTACAGCTAACTGCAGCTTATGCTCCGACGCAGTAAACGCATCGCAGCACGTGAAGGGCGGGCAGCCGCAGCGGAACAGCAGCTACCCCTGCCCCACCCCTCTGCAATGGATGCTCAGGGCAACCCCACGGTGGACAATGCCGCATCCGGCAGTCCACGCGAGGCGTGAAGCTCGAACCCCCTGGTCCCACAGGTCCAGCAGGTGGGTTCCACTGCGACACCTGCGGGAGCCCTCGATGCGGCGCCAGTCCGGCAGCAAGGACAGACCATGATGGCCTTCCTGGCCCGCCTGGACACCTACATGAAACAAGTACGAGAGGAACAGCAACGCGAGGCGGCAGCCGAAACGGCACTCCTCAACGCCATTGCACGCGACGCGGAGCAATGGCGCCGGCAGCACGCTGAAGCAGCTGCCAACCATAACAAAGCTCGAAAAGATGTCGCATCTGTCCTCATGCAGCAGGAAGCCGCTCATACCGTCGCACTCCAAGCATGAATTGTTGATCCGGTAGAGACGACGGAACCAACTGCGGAGAAGCAGACCAAGTCAGCCCTCGCCAACATGATGCACCAAGTCATCCTCACTTGTAATTGGCGACAAGTGGAGCTGGCTCGGCAGGCACATACCATTGCTGAGTATGAGGAGACTCAACAACCGGCGACCATCAGCCAGCAAATAGCCGCCCTGCAAGCGGATCTGCGTCAGCTGCAGCAGCAACCAACTGGGACCTGCAACAGCCTGACGTCGAAACAATGCAAGATGCCGAAGTTCAGCATCGACAGATTTGATGACTACCACAAGGCGGACCCGATAACCACCTGGCTCAAACCGAAGGCGTCGAAGTCTCTAAGCTTTACACCAAGATCACTTAGGAGGCCATGACCGAGAAGTGGTGGAAACATTTCATCATCGACGACGCTCAAGGCAAAGGCGTGAACTGGATCTTCAGCATGCACCAAGGCAGCCTGCCAACACGCGAATGGCTAACCGAATGGCAGAAACTCGTGACGATTCCGAATCTGGACATACTGTTCGTATATCTTCGTCGCGAATTCTTCCAGCGGTCGATGACGCGTTGAGCACGGCCCTTGGGGAAGTTGGGGAGCGCAGCCTGTACACGGACTTTGACCAGATTGTGGATAAGGCGCGCGAAGTCATCCAAACAAATCGGTGGGCCGCCAACGAGCGGCGAAGCCAACCAAATTTTGTGGAAAAGGGCAAAGGCCCGCGGCCGCAGCAAGTCGTTGTTGTCCAATGCAATAGACGAGGACGACCAGGCGCAGACTCACGAGTCTAGTGAAGGAGACGGAGTCAACGCCCTTCCGCCAAGACGCAACAACCAGAAAAATAAGGCGAAATCTGCGTCAACAACGGAAGCCGGACAACCGAATGAGTCGTGGAAGAAGCTCAGCCTCACGGAGGAGCAATACAAGCTCCGCCAGAGGTGAAACTGTTGCTACGGGTGCAACAGCACTAAGCACACGACGTCGCAATGCCATGACAAAGCAAAGAAGACGTCCGTCCACGGCAAAGCTCGGGAAACTGAGTTCCGCGGGAAGTGAGGCGACTTCACTTCCTACTCTGCCGGACACGGTTGCCTTGCTAGCAACCTCCTCCACGTCTGGGGAACATACGTATGTCGCCAGTCTTCACGAAGGTTATGAAGACTATGTTGTCCAGCTGGTCCCGTCGTTGGACCAACCTCTCCACGTGCAAGAGTCATATGCGTGCGCGACTTCAACACCATCGCCAAGTGAACTAGCATCCTCGCCGACACTATTCGAGGACTCGTTCATATGGTCTAGACTTGAGCAGCTCGACCCATTGACGCCGGAGGACTTCCAATGGTTGCCTCTTCCCCCATCTTGTTCCTTGCCGAAGCCGCATTGCAACGCCCTAATGGCAGAACTACGCACCTACTTGCACGCAGCAGTACCAGCTCCGTTGATGGAAGACAGAGTAGCGGTTGTTGACCTTCGCGAATACATTGCAAAGATTGACGGCGAGTACGCCACGCAACGGTACGACATCGACGCACCGTTACTCTACGTCCGCATTCAGATCGGGAAGGCGACCTGCAGTGCCTTGATTGATTGTGGAGCTACTCGCAACTACATCAGCCAAGACTTCATGACGCGCGCCGGCCTTGGGCCGCACGTTCGAAGGAAATCGCAGCCCACGCAAGTCACGTTGGCCGACGGTCGTACGCACAAGTCCATTGACCGGTGTGTTGACTCCGTCCCCGTGTACTTCGCCCCGCATGCACGCGAGGCCGTGTCCTTTGACATATTGAACACACAATTCGACATGATTTTGGGCATGTCGTGGCTGCGCAGCGAGGACCACCCGGTGAACTTCTACCGCCTCATCGTTCACGTTCGTGACCGGAACGGGGTACTTGTGCCATGTACGGTCCCCCCACCTCACCCTTCGATTGGTTGTCACGTGGTCTCCGCGGCAAGCATTCGCAACTCCATCGCACGGAACGAAGTGGAGGAAATGGACATTTGTTTCTTGCACGCCCTCCCTCCTCCCGACGAGCCAGCGGCGGAACAGCCATGGCCCACCGGATCCACGCATTATACAGCTTATTGACTCCTATGGCGACGTCTTCGAAGCCCCCACCGGAATTGTACCGAATCGGCCAATTTGTCACGAGATCATCCTCAAAGACAGGGCCGTACCTCCGCGTGGATGTATTTACCGCATGAGCGAGGAGGAACTCGAAGTGCTTCGAACGCAACTCGATGACCTCATTGACAAGGGTTGGATTCGCCCTAGCTGCTCGCCCTACGGTGCACCCGTTCTCTTCGTTCGGAAGAAGAACAAGGAGTTGCGCTTATGCATCGACTATCGTAAGCTTAATGCTCAAACAATTAAGAATGTCGGCCCGCTCCCACGCATCGACGATCTTCTCGAATGCTTGGGCGGTGCCAACTATTTCTCCAAGTTGGACCTCAAGGCGGGTACCACGAGCTCGAGATCCATCCAAGAGATCGATACAAAACCGCGTTCAAGACACGGTATGGGCACTTCGAGTGGGTCGTAATGCCATTCGGCCTCACGAATGCCCCGGCCACCTTCCAAGCGGCAATGACAACGGAGTTTCGCGACATATTGGACCGGTTCGTGCTCATCTACCTCGATGACATCTTGGTATATAGCCGGAATTTGGACGAGCACATCGTGCATCTACGCACTGTTTTGGACAGGCTACGTACGGCCAAGTACAAGGCCAACCGAGCCAAGTGCGAATTCGCGCAGCAAGAGCTCAAGTACTTAGGCCACTTTGTGACGCCGCAAGGCATCCGTCCGCTCGCGGACAAGATCAAGGCCATTCAAGATTGGCCGGAACCAACCAACACCACGAAAGTCCGATCTTTTATGGGATTGGCCGAGTACTACCAACGCTTCATCGGAGGATACGCACGGATCGCCGCGCCCTTGTCAAGATTGAGGTTCTCCAAAGGTGCCTTTCTAGTTCACCGACGAAGTCCGCAGTTTGTTCCACAAATTGAAGACGCCATTGCTCCTCTCTCCCGTCTTGAGTATCCACCTGCCCACCTTGCCTACGAGAGTGACTATGGACGCTTTCGACTATGGTCTGGGTGCAGTTTTGGAACAGCATGACGAAGTAGACTGCTATGAAACACCCGCGGAAGCGTCCGCAGGCCCGATCTCGGATGGCGGCCACATATGTGGCCGCGTCTGCGACTGGCCTGGTCCGCGCCGCAGACCCGATTTTACGAGATTTTTCCTGAATTAAATAATAGGAAAAACAGAAAACAAATATGGGGTTGTAGGGAATTTTAATCCCTACAACCCCATATTTTTTTTTTTGGAAATATATATATTTTTGGAATTATAAAAAATAAAAAACAGAAAAGGTGGAGAAGAGAAATTGAAAAATAAATTTAAAACAAAGTTTTTTTTTGGGGGGGGGGGATTTTTGGTTGGCAGTTCTTTGTATTCTTCGTTGACCAGGGACTTCCCCAGACCTAGCGTTTGGTTTTTGCGGATCAGGGACTTCATTGATTGAACTAGGCCTGTTTGGGGTTGATGCGTTGACTGTGGGGCTTAGCGGTAGGTAAGGGACACGGCTAGGCAGACCCGGTCGGGCCTCTGGACCTGGTAAGGCGGGAACAGTTTGGCCAAACCGACGATATCGGTTGCTTTAGTTTTTTGGGGGGGCTGCCATCATAAATACTGACGTTTTGTCGGTACGACTCCCTTTTGATGCCTTCGGGCGTCAAAGTGAGTCAACTTTGCGTGACTCATTTGGTCCGAGGAGTGTTTCGGCGGGTCTTGGGTGCGTGGTATGTTGGCGGTTGTGTTACGTGGATTTTATAGCTATGGTTGTGATTACTATGGTTCCTCACGTGCTTCGATGTGTGCATCTTCGATGTTTGTGCATCTTTCATGTCTGCATATGATGTATGAGTGCGAGCCTGCGTGTCTTCTTTGCTGCTTGCATCCAGCGTCGTAACCTGCTAGGAGATTAGACCTAGAGGGGGTGGCCACGAATGTGTTACGAAGAGAGTTGCGAAGTGAGTTGGAGTGAGAAGTGGTCGTCTAGACTAGTCTGTGAATGGCGGACACAATGAGTAACGAAAGTGGGACGGGTGGTGCAGGCGGTCCTACTAGCTCCGGAGGTTCCGGAGGATCGGGACGGGGGCAGGGCTAGTCGTAGTGAGAACATGATGGTGGGGCGTACTTGCTATGAGTGTGGTGAGCCCGATCACTTCGCCAGTGTCTGCAAAGAGTACTGGGAGGCCAAGGATCGGGGGGTTCCGTTTGTACCTCCACCACCACCAGCGTATGTAAGAACGGGTCGGACCGTGTTTGGCAGTGGAAGCGAACGACGGAGTCACTCGACGGACAACTATGCGATGAGGAGAGAAGACGAGGAGACGAATGCGATGATGAGGAGTTATTTTCGAGAGAAGGCTCTGATGTGGAAACAGGAGAAGGAGAATTTGGCAAAGGAAGAAGAGAAGCGAAAACAAGAAGCGTTGCGACTCGAGGCAGAGAAGAAGAAACAGGAAGAAATTGAAGAGCGGAAGCGAGTTGAAGATGAACAAGACGCAAGGCTACTACGTATCATCCGTTCGGAAATCCGAGTTGAAAGTGACACTGAGAATGAACGTGCTCCACGACGAATCAGGAAGTTGGTGAGACGAAACGAGAGGGGCGAGACGTTGGAAGAAGAGAAGGAAAGGTTAAGACGAACAATCGCCCTTCATCAAGAGGAAGAAGCTGTTGAGGACGAAGAACTCATTCTGCTACGAAGACGAGCGGCAGGATTGGTAATTAGTGACAAGAGGAAGCGGGAGAAGGAGGTAGTGATTGGTGATAGTCCACCAATGATCACGCCTACCAAAGGACAGCGGACGAGACTGGGAACGATGGTGAAATTACGGATCGAGGAGATACGCGAAACGGGGAAGGTGGCGACATCGTCATCCCCGATACCCGAGCCGGTGGGGAAGATTGCCTTGTCCCTCAAACACATCTCGGTTGGGACTGGCCCGGGTGCAAGGGAGAAGTACGAAGCGGACTGTCGGGAACTCTACAAAGCGCTGACAGTGGAAGAACTGAAAGAGGCATGCAAGACAGAACGAATTAACTATGGTAAGCGCGAAGCTGCGGTCAAGCGTCTGGTCCTACGCAGGGTTGTCAAAGCATATGACCCGATTAACGTTCCACTACCGGTAACCCTGGTGGTCAGGAGAATGACGAGAGCATCGAAGGCCACCGAAGCAGAAGAGGACGACAAAGAGTCAGAGTGAGAAGATTGAAGAAGTGGCCGAGCTGCGACTGTTGCACGGAGGCCGTGGTAAGAGAGAAGAGGGTTGTATGCGTGCGCTGCTTCTGGCATTAGTTCTTGAAGGCGAAATAACCTGGTGCGAAAAATTTCTGGAATATTGGAGGGAGGCAGCTAAGAGTGGGAAGTTAGATCTGAGCTCTCCAAGAGGTTGTGTGTATGTTATCATATCGCCATGGTATAAACAGTGCTATGTTGGGATGACTGAACGGAACCTAGTATCGAGATGGAATGAACATGTGAGTTGTGCAAGACAGGGAGATAGGAAGAGAGGAAGGAACCTGTACAATTGGTTGGGGAAGGTAGGCGCCCTCGCGTATGTAGCTATCCCTTTATGCTTTAGTAATGATAGGAGGGAGTTGGAAGCCATCGATCGGACACTCATCCGGACATGGTCACCATCATTGAACTTGAAAGGAGTCGGAAAAGGGAACGGAAAGAGACGGAGGAGAGGGAAGAGGGAACGGAGGAAGAAGGTTAAAGGTAAGAACGAGCGTACTAACTCGTCAAGATCGAGAATCCTAGAGCTCTGTGAGGAAGGGGATGAGCCGACGGTCAGGGCTGTGGACCTACTGAGAAAACTCAGTCGGGAGAAACCGAAACAGGACGTGCGGATTAGCTGTAACGGTGGTGCAGCGTGGGTTGACGGATGGCGGGTCGTGAGATGTTTATTTGGCGAATCGCGTGTGATCGTGGGAAAACGGACTAGACCCCTTCGAAAGTGTAAGTCACTGTTCGAGACGGAAGGTTGGGTGACCGTGCGGAACGGTATCGAAGCATCGCCTGGAACGATACGCTTGAAGCAGGAGGTGATTGGTATGTTTAGGGATAAAAGAAAGAAGAAGATTTTGCTGAGTAAGTCGAAGAGCGAGTTGGTTAGATACTATGGGGTTGAGAAGTTGTTCTCAGAGAAGCGTAACCGTACGAAGGTGAGGAGAATGGTCTCTGATGTCTTCAGGACGAAATTTCATATGAATGTATGCAGGAGGGTCGTAGTGAAGGTCAAATATGATGAGAGGATTAAAAAAAGTGAAGTCGTAAGGGTAGTAAGAAGTGGTATAGGGAGATTGCATCTTGATCGACCAGTTCTGGAGATGGTTCGAAGACGATCCCGTGTCGTATGGACAAGAGGTCCTAACGTCGGGGATTTGATCCATAATCACCGCCGCTTCGCGGCGAATGGAGTATCTGTGTGCAATTGCACCAGCATGTCCTTTCCTAAGTTGGAGGGACACGTCCATTTCCGGATTGGTGACTGGGAGGGCTGTCCAAATATAGCACGTAATGCTAAGAACATACCGAGTGATTATGGGACTGGTTTGTGTGAACGACTATCGAAGGAGGTCACAGAAGGTTTCTCCGACCTCAGTTGGATGGGTGAGGGTGTGGAAAAGGTGGAGTTCACAAGCAAAGAAGTGGAGAAGCGTATTGTGATGAAGGGGAAGGAAAAGGGCAGCGATCTGACGGAGATCAACAGTTTGAAGAAAGAATTGCAGGGCTTGGTTTGTGCCCCTCTTGACAGAAACCCCGACGATACTCTCGTGATGTCCCCAACAACATACCGGGAGGCGATGAAGACTACACTCATCGACAATGAAGGGTACACAGTTCGGAAAGAGAAGGAGGAGGACATCTTGGGGGATGAACTATGTGTATATGTAGAGAAGGGCTTTGAACAGGTGGGAAAGTGGAAGAAGGATGGGAAGATGGGTAAAGCCTATGCGTTGCCAAAGCACAAGGACACGTCTAAATATAGACCAATATGTCCTACGTACAGTGAGCCGGGTAATAACGCATGCAAGAAGATCTCGAGAGCCTTGAATATGATGCTATTCTCATTGTCGGACAGCACGCACTTTAATTTGAAGTCCATCTGTGGGCTGCGAGATAGGCTGAAAGGGATTAATTGCAGAATTACGAGTGTTGGATGTCGCACGCAGCTGCTTGCTCGATCATATGATATTAAAGATATGTTCAGCAAGCTGCCGCATGCGACGATCAACCGTGCTGTTGACTGGTGCATTTGGTGGCTTGAATCCAGAGGATACCGGGGAATGTTTGTGAAGCGACAGGGAAAGGGTTGTATGCTGAGTAGATTGGAACGTATTGAGGGTTGTCAGTATTAGCTTTGGCGTCATTCGTGAATTTGTTCATTTTGAACTTGAATTTTGTTTTACGATTGCGGGTGGCACCATCTTGCAGCAGACGGTGGGGATCCCCATGGGAAAGTCTACGAGCCCACCGCTTGCCTGTCTGATGTGTGCCAAAGCAGAATGGGATCTGCTGATTTCATTGGGGAACGAGAGAAGGTTTGTCGAAGGTTTGAGGTATGTTGATGATGCGTCAGTATTTGTTGCCTTTGATCCACAGCGTTCCGAAACAAGGGAACGTGCTGAGAGGATTCTTGATCGTTTTGAAAGGTGTTATGACGAGGCATTGACACTCAAGCGGACTGACGAGGGCCAAGAGGCTTGGGATTTCCTGGGCTGTCGTCTGAGTGTGCGTAAGCAATTTCCATTTCTGGGCTGTTGCCAAGCAATGAAAAACGACAAGGCCCTGAGTGAGGGCCAAGCTCTGGTGTTTCAGACATTTCAGGATTATGAATCCTTGACCAGCAAGAAAGCTAAGCTGGCTGTTATCACAAGTGCATTGCATCGAATTCATCAGAACTCGATGGTCGGATTGGAGTTGATGGAGACCTTACTTCTGCTGAAAATCGAGGTTCGCAGAAGGAGATATCCGGACCATTTTTTCCGTAGAGCATTGCCGAATTTCGCGAGGGACAAGACCGATTTTTGGAAATTGGCAGCGCAATTGTTAGCAGATTGATTGTCTGAGATTGGAATCGATGAGTTGTTTTTGTGTTTGGATCGTAGGTTTTGAGATGTTTGATTGTATGTCAGGACAGTTTCTTTGTCTTCCTTTGTTTTTGGATTTAGTGCACCAGGGACTTTCCCAGACCTAGCGTTTGTTTTTTGCGGATCAGGGACTTCGTTGATTGAACTAGGCCTGTTTGGGGTTGATGCGTTGACTGTGGGGCTTAGCGGTAGGTAAGGGACACGACTGGGCAGACCCGGTCGGGCCTCTGGACCTGGTAAGGCGGGAACAGTTTGGCCGAACCGACGATATCGGTTGCTTTAGTTTTTTTGGGGGGCTGTCATCATAAATACTGGCGTTTTGTCGGTACGACTCCCTTTTGATGCCTTCGGGTGTCAAAGTGAGTCAACTTTGCGTGACTCATTTGGTCTGAGGAGTGTTTCGGCGGGTCTTGGGTGCGTGGTATGTTGGCGGTTGTGTTACGTGGATTTTACAGCTATGGCTGTGATTACTATGGTTCCTCACGTGCTTCGATGTGTGCATCTTCGATGTTTGTGCATCTTTGATGTCTGCATGTGATGTATGAGTGCGAGCCTGCGTGTCTTCTTTGCTGCTTTGTATTCTTCGTTTTTACGTTTTTTTTTTGTTTTTTTTTTTTTGTCCTAAGGAAACAATCAACGGAATGGGAAAAAAAAAA